TTGGTTCAGATTCATAGCACCCTGTCAAGGGTTTCTGAGGCTTTAGATCGTTAAGGGAGCAGACAGCTTCAACTTCCTCCCATGGAGCAGCTGGTGGTTTTGACCCTGATAACCACGAATAAACTTTGGTCAGCATGTGTCTGCCTATTATGGGTATTTCAGATCAGTGGGATCACACATGATTTGTCCTTTTGCATCTGATTTCTTTCACTCTGCATAACGTTTCCAAAGCTCATCCGTATCATAACATGAATCAGAACTTTGTTTCTCTGTCAAGCTCAGTCCATTCCACTGTATGTAGAGACCACATCTTGTTTATCCATTCATCTGCCATCAGACACTGTTCTTCTTTCTGCCTTATGGTTGATGTGAATGGTGCTGCAATGTACATTTGTGCTCAGGTATCTGTACCTGTGCATCTGTATGGGTTGTCTAGAGAAACAAATGCAGAGACGCTCACTTATGTGTAGGAAAAAGCTTTATATCGAGAAGACTTTTATATCACAAGAAGGCATCCAAACCCAGTTCAACCTAAGTCCACAAGTCGGGTCCAACCCAGGGCCCTCTTCAGACTCCTGTAGTCAGATGCCAGCGATGCAGAATGGTGAACCAGGAAGCAGAAGATCACAGGCCAGTGGGTTCAGAATCTTATGGATCCAAAGTCAGTGGAAACATGGCACGGTGGCAGCAGCTCTCAGGGTTGGCAGCAGAGTCCCAGCAAGCAGGAAGGCAAATGGGCAGAGAGAGTGACAGTTCCCAGAAGGACCATTCTCTTATACAGAAGGCCACAGCCCTCAAGGAGGTATCAAGTTACTGCTTGGTGGACAGACTTGACTCCACCCCTGTCCAGGAGTGTTCCATTGCAATAAAGTCATCCAACTACCACACACTGTATCCCTGATCACATGCCTTTCAGGTACATACCTACGGGAGGAATCACTGCGTCATGTGGTAATTGTAGTTTTCTACCATCCTGGGCTACTCCATTTCTAATGTCAACAATGGATGAGGATTCCAAGTTCACCCTACCGGTGCCAACATTTATTGTTTAAAAAATTTGTTCTGATAATAGCTATCCTGTGGGGATGATGTAATATTTCATTGTAGTCTTGATGGACATTCCCCTAATAACATTTTTTATGTGCTACTGGCATTTGCATATCTTCTTTCATGAAATGCCCATTCATGTTCTTTGCCCATTAAAAAAAATTGTATTGCTTATCTTTTGGTTTCTGAGTTCTAGGAACTCTTTATCTATTCTGGATAGATTAAGGCCTTACCAGATTTATAGTACTCGAGATTTTTCTACTTTTCCATAGGTTGGCTCTTCATTTTGCTGATAAAACTCTTTGATGCACAAAACATTTAATTTTGATGAAACTGACTTGTATTTTTTGTTTGTGCTGAAAATGAGATCTGGAGACCTTGCTCCTAAGTTTTTCCTAGGAGTTTATTTCTCATATTTAGGTCCTTGATCCATTCTGAATGAGTTTTCTAAAAATTCATTCATGTGCGGTAGGGGGTCCTGCTTCACTCATGGCCATGAGGAGATCCAATTGTCCCGAAACCATGTGTTGAAGAGACTGTTTTCCCATCAAATGGAATTAGCCTTATTGAAAAACAATTGACCTTAGATATAAAAATACAAAAGGCCATTGATTTTTATGAAACAAGTTACATTTGCTTACGGGAAGCTGCACACAAAATAGAATGTAACCCTGGCTTGGCAGTCTTCATCTGAGATGGGGTACCATTTCTTGTATGTATCCCTAAGCATGTTCACCTGGTAAAAGCGTATTTCGAGGACATTTTTCTCTCTTTTGCTTTTCCACAGGTAGGCCTGAGGACAGTTTATGCTGTGACTTGCTTTGCTGTCCCATTTAATACGTAGCTGTCTAACCACTTAAAAAACGCTAGCACTTAAGTCATCAGCCATACATTGCTGTCAACAGACTCACCTTCAGGTCCCACTCTCCCTTCTTTTCATCTTTCTTCTCAGGGTCAACCAGGACTATTGGGGCCGCAGGGGCCAATCGGGCCCCTAGGGTCCCCGGGACCCATTGGGATTCCAGGCGAGAAAGGGATGCAAGGTCACAGTGGTCTTCCAGGAGAAGCAGGCGAGAAGGGAGATAAGGTAAGTCTCTTCTCAAGAGAGAGATTTACGTGAACCAATACTATTAAGCCAGTTTTTTAATCTCTTAAATAATCACAGGTAGCACATACTTGTACTTGATGTAAACTGATGTCTAAGCTTCTCTATGGCAATCA